AGATATCCAGTAAGGTTGTCATTCATTCATCCACTTAATTAATCAATTTTCTGTTTATATTTAATTTTCAGTTTCATAATTTAATCGTAAATCAACGCAAGACAACAATGCATGCATAAAGAAAATACAACTGAATCATTTTGCCAATTCCAGTATATTATCATGCGTTTTAATCAATCAATCAGTTAAACAGGACAACAATAATAAATAACTGATTCTGACTCCATTAGTAACCTATAATTAATTCTCGAAATTTTTTAAATTATGTAAAATATTGTATTATTGACAATTAAACTTCAATTCCATAATAGGGAATAAGGCGATGGATTCTTATCCAAATCGGTGTTCGAAACACTAAACTTTCAACTGTGTCTACTGGCGGTCTTCGGATTTCCTAAATTTTCTGCGGAGATTGAAACATGCTTTACATACATAAAAATACCTCCTAAAAATCCAAAATTGGTGTTAAAACTCTTTTTCGGCCAATTTCATAATTCCGGCACGGTGACACTATCGTGCTTCGGCGACGACAGAACCGCCTACGACGGTGGTTTGCCTTAGATTGGCCGTTTTCGGACTGTTTTGGCTAGTTTCAGCCAATTTTTTATTCATTCCTATGAGAAAATACATTAGGGGGTCTCGGTTGGCCGAAAAAAAACGAAAAATAAAAATTTACCAGCGACGGAATTTTTCAGTGCGGCGGCTCTGCCAACTCACCTTCGCGGTTGGGTGTTTTTCTTCGGTCAATCTGTAGAAAACAAAATGGTGAATACAATAGTGAAAAAATTGTACGAAACAAGAATCGGGAAGGGGCTCATTGGAGGCGATTTTTTATTTTTCCCACGGCGGTGCCGCCAGGCTTTACCCACTGTTTTCAGTTCATCAACTGGTTCTTTTACTCCGATTTAGGCATGATGGTGTTCAAAATTAAATTCTAAGCGAATAAGAGAATTTTTAACTTTTTTAGCCGTTGGAGGTGGCTCTAGCGCGGCGGTGGATGGCGGTCGGCTCCCTTCTCCGATGACTGGTTCTTCTTCTCCAGCGGGGGGCTGGCGACTAGGGTTTGGGTTTGGTGTGAAGTGAGATATTCATACCCATCTTTCTTAAACTTGTGCCGTTCATCGCGTTTGATCACGGCTGTCTGATTGCGTTTAAAAAAGAAATAAATCTGAACCGTTCATCGCGATTAGATCTGAATCGTGCGTTTAAAGAAGAAATAAATCCGGACCATTCATCACGTTTAATCGTGAATGTTCGATCGTGCCTGAGGAGGGAACAGATCCAGACCGTCCATGCGCGCGGGAACGCATTCGAGTCATCCGATCACGAGCACGCAGATTGCCAGCGTGGCCTCCCGCATGGCACCGAGTTAGCGTGTCCTGCCACGTAGCACGCTTTGGTTTGTTGGAGCTGCTGACTGGGCAGTCCTACATGATGTATTTTTCTTAAATTACGTTTTGATTTTCGATTTTTATTTTTTTAAAAAAAATACCTCCCAAACTCAAAATTTTACCATTTTTTTCTAAAATTATTTTTAATTTCATCATCCACCTATTTTTTCTAATTTTACGTTAAATAAAAATTTAAAAAATTAAAAATTATATTTATATATGTATTTTTAATTTTAAAATTAATTCTAAACTAAATTTCAGATTTGGGTATTACAAACCACCACAAGATCATCTAACTCCCCCGTCAGCCAACCTTCATAATCGGCCCTAAAAGTAGCCATTGCTCCTTGCAACAACCACGTAACCTAGGAGCACCTCTTGGTTTGGCCATAATCAACTATTGTTCCCTACAATCGCTAGTCACCACTAGCAGCAACAGGTCGTGACTCCCGATACACTCCTCTATGTCTAGTATGATGCTTTCACACTCTAATATGGCCTTGTTCTCATGTGATGTGCTCAAATAGCTTTTCTTTAATTTGACTATATTATGGTCACGTTAATTTTATGCTCTTTTTATGATATTTTGTGGTATTTTTTTGGCCTCCTCTCCTTTTGACTCCATAAATCATTCTGATTTTTGGTCAGCCTTGTGATTTTTTGTTCTTATATTTTATGATAGTGATGATTGTATACTTATTGTAAGGTAGCTTTCCATTCATTGGATTTTGTTTTCTATCTCAGGGTTTCACTCCTTATCCGAACTGGGCCGTGTGGTTTGGTATTCTTTATGAGCTTTATGGAATATCATAAGCATTTGGACTTTCATCCTTGTAATAGGAATTGTATTGTCATACACCCAAAATCTTTGTGTCAACTAGTTGTCTTAGTGTATAAGCTTCTCATATTACTAACAAAATATTTTTTCTTCACAAAAAATAATCATGAATTTGACTAAATGACCTAATTTATTTGTTCTAATTGAAAAACAACTCCTACTTAAATTTTAGGATTTTTTCTTTTAAATCAGAAAATGTCATCAACAATGTACACTTGTCCATGGAATCATATTTTCTTACTTTGACCTTAGATAACGATTAAGCAATAGTAGTATATCCTTAAGCCAATCATATAGTGACATGAGTGAGGACCGTTACGTAATAGTCTTGTCTCAAGTAGTTAAACCTTAAATATTAATAAGAGTGTTCTCCTTTAATGTTGTCCTTCTCAATGGCTATTTCATTCATTATTGCATGATAAAAAGGCCTCTAGGACTATTTAGGAGAAAATTGGTTTATAATTTATAATAGAAGTCACAGATATGGTGAACAAAAATTCCCATTCCATTGAAGGTTTTCAGTTGGAGAATCATGAACTTAGAACAATTGTTAAATGCAGTTCAGATCAGTATGCGTACTAAAACTAATATGATCAATCCATTAATCGCTTGTACAGTCAATAAAAAGCAAATATACTTACTACAAGAAAAATATGTGTTTGTTACAGATTCGGTGAACAAATTTCCAATCTAATGTTGGTTTGTGCGGGGGTCATTAGTAACTACTCTTTTGTCGAAAAATTGCACATGATTAGTTTTTGACAACAGCATCAGCAACGAAATTTTTAACGGCAACAAAGGTAGATTACTGGCAACATCACCAACACTCCTAATGTTACTTATTTTTTTCTTGTAGTAAATGCACCCTCTAAAACTTCAAATTACTAAACAATCGCCAATAAAACCTAATGAAACTATGCTGTGTTACTACAGGGACCATTAGACTAGGAAGGATAATGCAATTTCATGCGTCATTATTTTTGTCAGCTGCATCCAAATCTCATAATCATGAAAAACTTGCTTATTCTGTACACTAACTCCAACTCAAACAATAGCTTGTAAGAATCAGATCAACAATTTCTTCTATAATTAGGAATTTATGATCAACTTCTTTGCCACAAGTCGGATGCCTGCATTCAGCTGATAGTCATATGGATCCAAGGAGAAAAATGCATCTACGAAGATCCCTGGATTAAACAAGAGTTTAACCTCTTCGGCATCAAATTCACTGAAAACAAGCTTTTGCAAGGTGCCAGAAGCATCTTTCTGATATATCTCTGTGGCATGATGGGCTGTGTCCCCATGCACTACTGTTGGTATCCTGTAAAAACACCGAAGAAACAGGGTAAAAACTACGCATATGTTAAGACGAACTTCTGATAACTGATAGTTCAATAGAACTTTCATGCCAGATTCATACTGTGCTCAACAGTTAACAAGATGGAGAAAGGAACAGATATATATATACATCTTCAGACATATGGTGCACAAAAATAATATTCCTAAAAGAATAAATAGGTAAAACTGTGATATTGTGAACAAGCAAGCACGCTTTGGACCAACTGACCAGTTTTGTCCATCTATTTTGCAACTTTGCAGTAAGATGTGAATCAAAAGATGACAACAAAACAAATAAATAATATTGATGACATTGGAGGAACATAACATGGCAAAATTTTAAAAGGAAACATGGTAGTTCATTGCATAAAAATAGCTCCATTTTCTTTAAAAAAAAAAGGCCCTAGAACTTATGCAGTGAAGTGCAATGTAATGTTTAGATGTATTTCCTAAACCAGGGCAATAGCATATATACACCAAAATAATGGATAAAAAATTGAAACAGCAGAGAAACTAGAACTTAACTGCAATCTTGCTGTAGGATGGTTAAAGAAACCATTTTTTCGAGTGACAACAGGTCTCCACTCAGAACAGCTACCTGAATCAGTCAACAATTTCTGAGCAATACCATCACATGCATCCAGAACCTTACATAAGCTGGGAGGTACATCAACCACAAAACTCAACCTTGGTCGGCCAGCATGATCAACAAACTTTGAACTTATTCCAAACCGCACTTTCAGATGAGAAAAAAGCTGCAGATGGACATTTTTATATGACAGCTTTATTCTTTGGCTCCCACGATAAAATGGGACAAGAGATACATGGATATCCGAAACAGAAACTTCATCGGGACCTAAAAATCCTCCATATCCACTGCATCCCTCTAGAGAAGACACATCAAAATTCTGTGACCTAGCATTTTCTTCCATGGTGGTGTCTGGTATAAGGATGTCAGTATTCATCTCATTGCCTAGTAGGCTCATGTCAAATGGATCTGATTGAGCTGTATCTCGTGCAACTGCATTTGAAATCACCTCTTCTGTGCAACTAGTCAGAGGAAATAATATAGGATGATTTTCTCCCACTCTCTCATCAGTAGGAGATGACTTTGGAGCATTTTCGAGCTCAAAATCTGATGACGGTGTATTCATGTTAGGGCTCTCTGCCTCAGGAGATGACTTTTGAGCACTTCGACTTCTTGTTGTTCTCGTTGGTGAAAACCAATGGTTCTCCGTGAATATGTCAGGGAGACTTGACTCCTGTAATCATGGATGTTAGCTAAAATGCATGAAACTAATATTTCAAAATATTATACAACCCTTATTCAAAAGTCACAACGACAGAAATCATCCTTGTCCTGCCATGCAATAAGGAGGCATATCTAATAGTGATCTATGAGTATGCTAAAGCACCAAACGGGCAACCAAGGAGCATTGACCCAGGAGGAGTTACCTATAACAGCATTAATGGGTACTAATAGACAACAGAATTTTGGCCACAAGATATGTGAAAAAGTAAATAAAGTCCTTCAAGATGCCAGGAAAAGGAAACTTTAGGCAAGTCAATTCTGAGGTTATGCAGTCAGTGCCAGTTTCAAGACAGAGGTTAATAGAACAGAAATCAGGATTGAAATATAACTAAATTTTCAAAGAAGTCATCATGAGAATAAAACAAATACCTGATTTTTTTTTATTTTAAATAAAAATATCTCTGTTGCTATTCAGTCAAATGATGGTGCAATTTGAAATTAACATTACAGTTGGAACTTAAAAATGAAAATATGCTTGTTTGTACAAGAATAGTTTCAATAAGCACATAAAAAAACAATAAATGTTAATAATGGTGTTTACTGATGACACAGTGCAGCTAAGGTAGTATAACTTTTGGAAGGATAAAAATAACCTTAGCCAAACTTCCTGTAAGTTCTTCATGAATGACCTAATCTGTCAATGTAAACCAATGGAATACGGTATATTCAATCAACATGATGCATGAAATTCAACAATAAGCCATAACAAAGGCTGCCAAAGAAACCACCCTAAATAAGGAAAACTCAGAGAAGCGTTCAAATTTTCAAATTTGAGAGAGAGAGATTTCAAACAGTCCTGAAAAGAGAACTGGTCATAATCTAAGATAACATTTTTTTTCCTTCTCACATAATTGGTGAAATCCATACCAAGAACAAAACTGTCGCACAATACTTCAGAACTTCAAGATTCATCCGAACATCATCTAAGCTCCTGACGAATTCAAGCAGAGAAGAATATAGAAGGAAACATTAGAAAGCGGTTCATACAAAACAAATAAATAGAATAACTCGCTAAAGCTGTGTACTATTACCTGTGTGTCTGCTGCCCAAGGCCAAAATAGGTAGCTAGAGTTGCCATCTTGAAAGAACAGAAAAATGTCAATATTTACATAGTCACCAAAACACAGATTACAATTTTAGTGTTTAACCTTGAACACTGCATACAACCACAACATCCTAAATTTTTGGTTAGCGAGTACATAGCAGCTTACATCAAGAAAGCTCTGCAGCTAACCTAATGTCCAAAGAGACTCTCGTATGCCATAACAAAAAGGCACTCCATATTATCATCAAAGTACTAATTTTCATAAGCTGCTTAACTATTTAGTCTTTGCTGAGAGGTAAAAGTCATCATTCTACTTTACAGCCTAAGAAATCTCAAAGGTAAAAGCAAGTAAGGACTCAAAGAACTTTCCAAATTCACTATGTATAATGCAAGGGAAAAATATATTTATTTTGCATGAGCAAACTAGGCAGTTACTATGTTCTTGTTAAGAATGTAGGATGCAATTAATCAGAATATTAAAGCATCCAACATATCAACTTTTGAAGTGGCTCCTGATGCACGGCTGATCAAATAGTCTGGAGGCACATGACAAAATGTTCCAAACTCATTCAAAAAGCCAGCAGTAATTCACTTCACAAACATCTTCAAGTATAATTGTCCAACCATATACAACCAAGCTTTTTCTTTTCAAAGAATATATATAAAATCAAGTTTTTTATGCTGCCTTGCTGCTTTCCACTCTCAAGACAATTGCCTCTTAAAGAGATAGAAAGAGAAAGAGAGAGAGATAGAGAGGAAAATGGAAAATACATATAGTTATTGGTACCTTCATGTCACCAGCTCTCCTTCCAAATCTTTCAGTCAACAACGCCAATGAATCTATTGTACCCTTGGGCTCCGGTGGAGGCCGACCAATTCCAGCAAATGCTTCCCTTATTCTTGCACAATCAAATCTCAGTATATTGTGTCCCGCCCAAATTCGTCCTACCAAAACAAACCCAGAAAAAAGTCAACTTAAACGCGAAAAATAATAGCAAAATCATTAGACATGTTTGACTCTGGAGAACACCCACGCAGAAAAAAAAAAAGAACATATCAGCAATTCAAAGAAGCCTATAAACCCATTTCTCTATTTGCTTGCAGAAAAAAGGCAGCTAAACTCCCCCTTCCCCCAATAAAAAACGGAAAAGAAAACGCACTTTGCCAATCTCAAACTCCTAATTTCTCCGCAAGCAAATCCAACGCAAATTCAAAATTTTTTTGGTTCACTTCCTTGGTTTCTTTCAACAACCAGTTAACGCACAAGCGTAAAGATGAAGAACGAAAGGAACACACCATGGAGAATGTCGTAGACCTTATCTGCAATATCAGCAAAGGTAGGTGCAGAAACGACGGCGTCACGGTTAATCCCGTTGCATCGCACAGAGAGGGAAGAGATGAGTGAGAGGTCAGCGGGTCGCACCAAAGTCGAATAGCTATGGAGCTCCACCAGCTTCCTCGGGCAAACTAGGATGGCTCCGAATTCCAGTAGAGCGAAACCCTGTCTGGTTCGCGTTGGCACCGTCGTCTCGACGTCGAAGAATGCAATTTCCGATCTGTCTTGCTCCGGAGTCAGACCCATCATCGGCTTTAAATTTGTGAACTGTAACTTGTTCGGAATGGAAGAATCGAGCTTGACATTGGCGCGCCAATTGACGGACTAGGTTAATATAAGGGAGAGTTTGGGAGAGTTTTTGGATTTGAGATTTTTGGGTTGCTTCGCCTGGTGGGTTTTCCAGAGATGTGGATGAAAGCCCATTTTCGAACCAGAGGATCTTAGAAATACTAATTAATTTTCATCTCCTTCGTTAAATAGAAAAATTACTTTTTTTGCTCATAGAAAGTCTTCTACCAAAGTTCCTTAGAATAAGGAAAGTATGATTCCTTGTGTAACAAATGAATATATCACCTTCCTTCTCTTGGTGTTTTTAGTGAGCTAGAAGAAGTTACCTTTTTCTTTGGTTTCTCAACCAAGCATGGAATACAACCAAATACTATCAATTGACTAGCCAACCATGGTTTCAAAAAATTATAAAATTTTGTGGATATGTAGGCTAATAATAATCTCATGCATCTTATAAAATTTAGTTTTACCATTGTCATTAAGTTTAAACTAATCTTAAACATCCCCTTGTATCAATTTTGATTAACTGAAAAATAATAAAGTTGATCGAGAAGTAGACATATCGTTTTTAATTTCAGTTTTGTTATGTTTTTTTGATAAAATATTGATACTAGCGATAAAAAAAAAAGGAGAAAAAAGGGGAGGATTTCACGAATCGTGGATGTTTTCTATTAAGAAACATACAATATATAAATATAGTTGCATTTATCGAGTGATTAAGTTATAAAGAATTATTTAATTATTTAAATAATATTTTTTATGTGATATTTAACAATTTTTTTAATTTTAATTAGGTTAAAAAAATTCAATTTTTTTTGAACTAAACTTTCAAATATGTATCAAACAAGCCCCTCTATGTTAGGAAGCCCTAAAATCATTTATAACGTGTTGATATAATTTAATTTAAATTTTTAATCACGAATGCATGGACACCACGTTACTGCCATGTCACACCCTCATTAATGGGTCAAACACCTAAACCTAATATATTATGTCCTCTTCCCTTTTTTCCTTGACAAAAGTTTCTTCATCTTCATCCTTTTGCAGTTCATCATATTTGAATATGTTGAGTCGAAAGTTCATGCATAATCAATTACTCGGTGCTTTAACACCGAATATGTCTTTGTACTTAAACAACATAAAAATTTTTTACACTTCATTGAGACAAACGGTTGCAACATTGACTAATGCTTTATCAGAAATTTTTTTCAATTTCTTCACCGAATATGGAAATTAATTTATATTTGTTGAATTTGAGATCTGAAGTAGTATGTTTGGAACCCTAAAATCTCTATAAAACTTTTGACAAATTTGTAGTGGCATATTTTTATTTTTAAGTGTGTTGAGTGTCTAAATTTTTAAAATTTAAGACCCATTTATAATATGTTTCCTTGTAATTGGAGTTTATAATGGTTTAAGTCTATACTTAATTTTGTTTGGAACTTGAATTTTGTCACCTCAAATTTAGAATTTAGTATCTCATTTTATCGTGCAAAGAAAAAATAGTGATCTTTGTGAATGAATATTATCTCTTAAAAACTTCTATACTTGCTAAACTCTTATAAATAATGAATTTTTGAAACGATGTAGTCCCAAAATAACTCCTTCGTTATCAAGTTTTTATTAGTTTAAGGAACTTTTTGTTAGTAAATTAGGAGAACTTACAATATCAAGGTTATCATTTATGAAATTTACCAAAAATAAAAGAAATTTCTAATTTACTAACGTCCATGAATTACAATGTATAATTTACAAGCGTCACTCATTAGATAGTGAATACGGAATGAAAGAGAAAAAAGACATAGAAATCAAAATAGTAAAAAAAGTATATTTTTATTTGATATAATATTTGAATTAATTCATCATAGTTATTAACATATAACACTGTTAACATTAAACATTATATATATAATCTTTTAAAATATGACATTTTTTAATAGCCATTAACTCAAAATAGTAAAAAAAATATATATTTTTATTTGATATAATATTTGAATTAATTTATCATCATTATTAACATATAATACCGTTAACATTAAATATTATATATAAAATCTTTTAAAATAGAACATTTTCTAATAGGCCATTAACTCAAAACAAATACCACATGATGTAGAAAAAAAGTTTTGCACATGGATTGACTGACTTAAAAAATATTTTTGTTTGATTTAATTTCTATCTTAATTTTGTTCAATTTAATTCTTATACTTTCAAATAATATTAGAATTAGTTTGCACGTTGGACTAACTTGAACTAATATGCATCTAAAAAAAAAAACTATTACGTTTCGTGTTTATTACTTCTCTGCCTTCTCGCATAGAGCCCCAATTTTCGTGCCACATGCGAGTTTCAGTTCAGATTTTTGTCGAGCAAGATGTTTGAAGCCTTGATGCGACCATGTACTCGATTGCGTCTGTAACGGTCCCGGAAATTTAAAATGAAATATGTGTATTAAAAATGTCAAATGCGGAAGCGAAGTCAAAATTTCGATTAACATCCCTTACACTAAAACCAAAAACGTGCTCAAAATATAAAAGATCAAACTAACTAAAAGAGAAACTCGAAAGTAAAAGCTATGAATATGACTATGGAGTCTTTAGGCGTCCCCTTCGTCGTCTTCCTGCGGAACGAGCTCGGGAACAATGTCTTCCTGATCTGAAATGATTAAATAAGGAATGAGCTACACTAGCCCAGTAAAGACATCACGATATCTCACCGTCACGGAGGTAAAGGTGGGTAGAAAACACAAAAAGACCAATGGAGCATAATTTACAACAAATCCTTTTATCAATAATAAAACCTTTACCATTCACTTACCTCGGTGAAATTCATAAAACAATATACGAAAGCAATAACATTATCATTATCATGAAATCATATAAACTGTATAACATAATACTTATCACGCCTTTTGTAATTCAATCATTACACAACATATTTTTCCTCATTTACCAGCCTACTAGTATCCATGGGGATCCATAGGGGTCCCGCTACCTGTGAACCCTTGACACTTGTAATCAGATTCCAGGGCCGTCCCCATACCCCGTCCGATATGGGCGCCAAAACTATAAACCTCAATACTCCGTCCGGTACGAGGGTGAAACGGGCTGTCCCCATACTCCGTTCGGTATGAGAGACCACAATCCCGGTAGGGTTCCCTACGAACTCGGTCCGTTCACCATCTCCCAGGATATCTAGTAAGACTGATCACATTATACAATTATCAATTTACATAACCTTTCATTCCCCTTTTCCTCAGTCAGCATCATCAATTCACACACAAACAAGTAAAACAGTAATTTATGCCAAACAAGACAACATACAGCATCGGTTTCTCAGTCATTCAACCCATAATCAATAAAACAGTAAAATATGCACACGAAACTATGAAATGAAAACATCAAACCTCATACTGCATTTAAAACTGTAAAATAGGCCAAACAACAGTTAACCGACAAAACACTAGACTCGGGCTCCATTAGCGACTTTAAGCAATTTCACACATTCGTTGATTCAAGAAATACCGTTTTATCATTATTGAACTTTAATACCGTGATAGGAAATAGGGTGAGGGGTACTTACTCGTTTTGGGGTCCGAACACGGCTCCACAGTGCGCCTACAGGCCCCTAAATTTTCATGGGAACTGAAACGCACTATTAGTACCTGCACGTGTTCCAAAAAATCCCAAATTAGACCCAGGACCCCTTTCAGCTAATATCGCAATTCTGGCACGGCGGCTCCGTCGTGCTCCGGCGACGGCGCCGCCGCTTGCGGCGGCGATTCACCTCAGGTTGGCCATTTTCGGCCGTTTCCAGCCGAATTCGGCCACACTTACATCGGTCCCTGTGATAAAACAACCCTATGGCCCTCGGGGGGCCAAAAAATTACGAAAAACCGAAGCTTACCGGCGGCGGTGCTCTCGGGTGCGGCGGCTCTCCGGCGAGGTTCGTGTTTTGGTGATTCGGCTCCGATCAACCTGTAGAGAAGAGAACGGTGATCACAATGATATAAAAATTGCATCAAACGAAGGCCGGGAAGAGCCTCATCGGAGGCAAAAACCGAGGAGGGGCGCGGCGGCGCCGCTGGATTTCGGCTGTGTTTTTCCGCCGTTTGGCCGGGATTTTGGCTCCGATTTGGCCACAGGGAAACTCAGCGTGGAAAAACGAGTCGGAGGTATGAAATTTACCTCGATCGACGGTCGGAAAACTCCCCGGTGCGGCGGCGGCCAGCGGCGGCGGCGGCCGGCTCCTCCGGCGTCTGGTTCATCTTCTCCGGCGAGGGCAGACGGCTAGGGTTTTTGTGGTCAAGTGTGGGGGTTTTATTTATACCCTTTTGCCTTTTGATCACAGCCGTCCATTTTGGTTAAATCTGGGCCGTCCGTTCTTGATTGAATCTGGACCGTCCGTGCGCGTGTATCTGGGCCGTCCGTGCGATTGCATCTGGGCCGTCCGTGCGCACGCTTGATCTGGGCCGTCTGTGCGCGCGGGACGCATCTGGACCGTCCGATCGCGCGCACGCGGATCGCCCACGTGGCCCGTTCCCTGGTCGACGTGGTCTTGCCACGCGGCAGGTCCTGGTTGAGCAGGGCTGCTGACTGGACCGCTGACGTGGCTGCTGACCTGGCTTTTTTTTTTAAATTTTACTAAATAAATAAAATTAATAAAAATAATAACAAAATGCTGAAATTATTTGGGCGTTACAGCGTCTGCCAAGCTACAGGCCTTCTATTTCTTCATGAAAACTTTTAAGTGATTTCTTGCCTGTGAGCATCCATGGAGCTTCTCTTGCAAGTTTCCGTTGAGAACATACAAAAACACTTGACTTCCGTCACTCCAACTTGAAAACCTATACGAGAAAAGATAAAAGAAAAGCAAAGTTGCAGACCTCGTTCATCGTAATAGTTAAGAATCTTGATGATGTTATAATGACAGAGACAAAGAAGAATGTTTAATTCCTGCTTGAAAAACTCGGTTGAGGTGATAACAACCAATATGGACTTGTAAAATTGACCCAGATAAACATTGCTAAATCCTCCATAACCAATCACCTTCGAGAAATTGAAGATGAATCTCTTTATCTCACTCTAACTGTATTTTTTAACAGACAAATCGCTATCACAATCAGCATCAAAATCAGAAATTTCCCTCGTCGACTCATGATCAATAACTTGACCTTGAGTATGAGGAATTTGAATAAGAAGAAACTCATGATAGAGAGAAAGAAATGATGGTCCTGGAGCTTAATCTTCGAGCTTTGGTCTTAAAAGGAGGTTTGAGTGTATGATTAGGAAAAGGAAGGAGTATTAATGGCGGATGATGAAGGGTAAGAGGTGATGCATAGGTGAAAAAATAAAATAAAATAAAAATGATACACCAACAGACAAAAGGGCAAGAGGTGGAAAAGAAACCAGTATGTTTATTGGTCTTAGATTTGTACGCCATTGGAGATAGGACTAGATAGATTTAAGGCCTATTCCGATCATACCTGGTGGGGAAGGAAGTCTTTTGTAAAACAAATAGATTTGATTAGCATGTAAAATGAAAAAAAAAATTAAATTAGAATAATAGATAAATATTAATTAGAATATTATTTAAAAATATGAAAATTAAATTAACATAAAGATAAATAATTCAAAATCTAAATTTATATTTCAGCATATAAATATAAATATAAATATATATATATGCACATTAAAAAAAATACAATTATAATATTATATTTTGTGCAGTTTAGAGTCCTACCAAATAAAACTAGAAACTAAATAAGAAATAACTTAAATACATATATGTTCATCATGAAAATAAGTAAATGAACAAATAATAAAAGTTTGCAATTTTTTTAATAGAATATACCAAGTTAAATTAAGTAAGAGAGTGGCTCAAAATCTCAAAGATGGGGAATTTGTTGCGTCTTTGTAGGGCTTTTCAATGGTGCTTTTCTTTAAACCTGTCGAGCCACAAACAGAGAGAGAGAAAGAGAGAGAAAAGAAGATAAAAGTTAGATTTATTCTCAGTTTTTCTTTTTCTTTTCAACTTTTTGGGGTTTAGAATCTCAAACCCATCAAATCAATGCGTAAATATAAGAGAAGAAGAAGCTAAACATGAACGACAAAGCCTCTGTTTCTAAGGAACTCAGTGCAAAACATTCCAAGGTGTTTCCCTTGATTTTTTATTTCTTTCATCGCACATTTTTCTATTATATATACATATATACATATAATTCTTTTGGGTTTTCTTGTTTTTCTACAATTACTGTGATTGCGATTTCCTTTACGTTCAATTTGTTAGAATGTGAAGAAGAGATGAACAGTTATCATGTTTGAACAAATGTAGATTGATTGATGATGAAAATGAAAGATTTATCGCTAAATTAATTTCCATTCTTTGGGTGTATCATAGAGTATGAGCTGATTAATTTATTCCAAATCTTTAATAGATTTCATTCTGGTGATATTGATTGTGATTGTAATAGTGCAGGTCTTAGAAGGCCTTGTTAAGCTACCAGGAAATAAAGAATGTGCAGATTGTTTGAGCAGGTATGTATTCAGTACTCTTTTTAATGGTGTCCTCATATCAATTCCCCTGGTTTCCATCCCAAGGAAGAGGAGGTAGAGGGTTTATTATAGTCAGAATAGAATTTTTCATGGGAAAATAAGTATTTAGTTAAACTATTAAAAATCTAATATATTTTTTGTATTACTGGATTCAGACTTTAAGATGGAAAAGAGAAGGAAAAAGTGAAGAGTAAGATAAATAAGAAATATTTACCCATATTTTTAATGGAAGAAGAATACCTCATCAGTTTACCTCCTAATTATTACTTATAGTGAAATTGAAAATACAAATTGGGTTAAATGGTATGAAGATTGAGCCACTTGCAACTTCTTAAACATCAATAAACTTGAGCCAACCCAAGTACTACTTCTATTATACATGGACCATCCAACTTCTTATGCAAAACACAAGCTCATATCAATGAGCAAATAACCTCTAACAATCTTGTAAATATAGCTGATAAAAAAATGGCCATCCTAAGAGTGCTTCCACTATATTTAATCGTGATAAGGACCTTACTAGTATTCTTTACTTGAAATCTGTCAGTTTTGAATAAGAAAAAGAGAGAATTGCTAATTTCTTTATGTG